ATGTCCTGTGATCTCAAGTTCAGCTCAGAGCATTGCTATTTAATAATGCCAAGTAATATCATCCTCATCTTAGGTTAGATCATATAGTAAGGTCAAGCCTTTGTATATAAATATATATATATATGTATATATTTATACTCCCAACAATCCCCCACCAGTAGGGAAGAAAGATAAAGATAAAGAATCTGACTCAGGTAGGGTGGACATTATTTAGAGAGGAGAGGGAAAAGGTTTGAGAGACTTATAACTGTAATTCCAGATCAGAAATATGCAGAGCACCTGCAGAAGGATACTGCAATTTCATATAGATTCACTGCGAGTGAAAGACAGGAAGGGTGCTTATGGGACCCGTATCCACGTGTAACTAAGGAGTATTTCAGGGTTGTCTAACTATAAGCTTTATTAAAAAGAAAGGTTGAAAGTTTGAAAAAGGAAAAGTTTGAAGCCTAAATTTAAAAGTATAGTGGGTGTCTGTCTCCCAAATGCTGCTTCTCTTCTACTTTTGGAAACTCTAGGAAACCAAAGGCAGGCCTGCTGTCTGAGAGCAAAGTGCTCCATTGGGATGATATGGTTTGATCATTCAAGACTGTTTTTCTGAGGAGAAGGATTTTATATTCCACAGAATTTAACAGGGAACCAATGAGAGAAGTGGGGAAATGTCTCTTTCTAGTTCCTGTTTGTACTCTTGCTGCAGGATTGCAGATCAGCTGAGGTGTTTTAGGACAGCCCGATAATTGCATGCATGAATTATAGCTGGTATCCCAACTATTCCTGTTTCTGACAATATTCAAGTCCAGGAAGGCAGTCCTAGATATCTGTCAAAAGTATGAGTTAGCGACTCCGGAGTGCCTCACAGTACTACTGGAGGTGAAGGTAAAACCCTCGTGCTAAAGTAAATTGTTAGACCAGTCTGAAATGTTGGTGGACTAAATACTTTAACTCCTCCTAGCAAAATAAATAAATAAATAAAACTATATTTAATTCAATTTGACAAGCTTAGTCTAAGAAGACTAAACTTCCACTGAACTGACGCGTGCCAACATGACTCAGGGTTCAGACTTGTAGAAGCTCAAACTGTGTCCATCCATTAAGTTTATCTTCCTCATATGATATCTGGAGCTGCTTCAATGTTTTCCTCCGTTTGCCTGTTGTTTGTATGACTCACGTTGTACACATAGTTCTGCTGCTCTCACTTTCTCTTTGTTGCTGTGGTAGAAAACAGTCACATTTATTCTCAATCAATGAAAAGCAGCAGTTCCAGCATTTGTCACATTAAAACCCTATCACCATTCTGGGAAACATTTAACGTGAAATATTTGCAGAGTCACTGACAGAGGCTCAGCA